CTGGTGAAGCTTTATTAGTGGAGGAAGATAAAAATGGTGTATCGATTGAAATTAGCAGTATTTCAAATTCTAGAAGCTTAAACCAAACAGACATCACGGTAGTTGAGCCATTGGTGGTTGAAGCTATTCTTCAGGAAAGCGGTATGCCGGAAAACTTGATTGACTATTCTAAAAGATGTGATATTAGTTGTGGGTTCAAGGAAGTGCAGCCACTGGGTTCATTGACCAAAGCTGGGAGTAGCCAATGCCATGAGAGAATTAGTAGGCCAAGAAGCTCAGCCATAGAAGAGAAATCAGCAAATGAATATAAGGCTCTTTCTATTGGCTCTGATCATAAATCGGCTGACAAACAGCTTGAAGTTAGAGAAGGGAATTCATCGCTGAGAACCCCTGATCGCCCTGTTTTTGTGAAGCCTGAATCACCCCATTTTGATGATAATGAAGAACACACCTTCGATGAGGTTCCAGTGAATAGTCGAGAAAAATCAATGATGGAGAAGGTCCCCACACCATCACCCGCTGCAAGGGTATTTGATGTCCCATCTCTCACTGAATCTGGAGTAAATCTCTCGGCAGACAATGAAATGAATGAAATTGAGGATCACAATGGGTTAAAAATAGAAATGGTACCAGAAATGGAATCGCATGCAAGCCACTCTGGCTTAAAAGTGGGAGAGAATGAACCTACAGAGTCAAATACATTCACTGGCCATATAGATGCGTTGACAAAGAGATCTCAACATGAAACATCCTTTCAAAAAGGTGTTCCCCCAGTTAAAAGAGATGTAACTTGTACAGAAACAGATGAGTCTCATGATCCAAAGAGCTCTATTCAGGAATTTTTCTGCTCTAGTTCCTCCATGGGGGGTTCCATGCGGCAGAATAAGCGGAGAAGAATCCTGGAAAAACCAACTAGTAGAGTGCTTTCGTCTAGCCCAGGGGTGAAAATTCTATCCCTATGTCTTGGGACAGCTCAATATATGAGAGTCTTGAACTGCTCCTTCCTTCCAAATGTAATTAAGATGCTTTTTGAATCATGGGATTTTATATGTGCAGGGAGACATTCTCGAGCTAGATTCTGTTTGGGATACAGTACATCATAAGGAAGAAGCCGCATGTCCCAACCTCGATAACTATGACGTTGAGTTACAGAAGATGCTAGGATCTGCATCTTCAGATCACTATGGTGTTGAGTTACAAAAGATGATCGGATCCACATCTTCAGCTGACTTACGATTTGAAGAGGTATGTGCATTATTTCGATGTCTTCTCAAGTTAAATGTCTTCTAAATATTAAATCTCTTTCCCTTGACAAATACGTTTTAACCGCTCAAGTTAAAAAAAAAGATATCTTCATTCCATGCTCCAAAAGGGAATTAGACAATTATACCTCAACTAAAAGCTGTACTATTGTGTTTAATTAATGAGAAAATCTCATTCTAGGCCTAAGTGTCGTAGTATTAAGCACCTCTCATGCTACACATGTATATATCAAGCTCCATAAAAATTATCGGCCAAAATTTGAAATCTTAATTATGCCTAAAATTAGTAATGCTCTCCAAGACCAAGAGATTAAACTGCAGTACAGCTCAAGCTCTTAATCCCAAAATAATTTCTCTTGTTCTGTATGATGTGCAATTAACCAGAAAAATGGATGTTTACAGAGTTACTTATTCAAGGAAGCTGGATTGATGAGCCCTGCCTCACTTTCCTTCAGAACAGAACAGCCAAGTGTACAGAAGAGCCAAATTGCTCCAAATCACGGAGTTGGATCAGAAAAGATGAACTTTTTGCCATATGCTGGAGAAACCTCACATGGATTAGCTAGTTGCATTGTTCACGATTCAGATGATTCTCCTTGTTTATCACCCTTGGGTTTGATAAGCTCAGATGATGGAAGCCCCCCTGTTTTGGAGGGCTTTATAATCCAAACGGATGATGAAAATCAAAGCGGCTCCAAAAACCAGTTAAATCATGACAGCTTCCAACTTCCGAGGACTACAGCAGAAAGTGCAGCAATGATAGAGCAGATTTGCAAGTCTGCTTGCATGAACACTCCATCATTACAGCTGGCTAAAACATTTAAGTTGGATGGAAAACTAGACTTGGATCAGTCCATTTCAAACGAGCTGTTTGATGGCATGTTTTTCAGTCAGAATCTCGAGGGTAGCTCTGTCTTTGATAACTTGGGGATAAACCATGATTATACAGGAAGATCGTACACTGACTCCCTGCCTCTGTTTGGTGCTGGCTCATCTGCTGAGACTAGGAATCCTTGCACGTCACCGACTGAGAAGTTGTGGTATAGAAGTTTGCAAAAGTCTTCCAGTTCAGAGAAACGAAGCAGTCAGACACCAGACCTACCTTGCATTAGCGAAGAGAATGAGAACGTAGAAGAGGAGGCTGAGAACTTATGTATGAACACTCCAAAGTCTATGAGGTCGGAGAAGCGAGGAAGCTCAATTCCAGACCTTCCTTGCATAGCTGAGGAGAATGAAAACATAGATGAGATATCTGAAGCTGTCAATGAAGGATCTGGGTTTGAAAGGGAAAATGTCTCTGCTGAAAGGAAACGTCATGGTGATGTTAATGAAGACCCTATGAAGTTTCTTCCATCTGTTTCTGAAGCCAAGATTCCTGTTGATAGACAGAGTCTAGACTCTGTCAATACTGCATTCAGCTTTTCCGCTAAGTGCAACAGTGTCAAAAGTAAAGTGGGAAAGCTGAGTAACCGAAGATTCACGGGTAAAGGTAAAGAGAACCAAGGTGGAGCAGGTACTAGAAGAAATGTTAAACCGCCTAGTAGCAGGTTCAGTAAGCCTAAGTTGTCTTGCAACTCGAGTTTGACAACTGTAGGTCCACGATTACCAGAAAAAGAACCTAGGCACAACAACATTGTCTCAAACATCACTTCGTTCGTTCCACTTGTGCAGCAGCAAAAACCAGCGCCTGCACTAATTACAGGTAATTGTTTTCTCTTTCCAGTATAAAGCTTTTGAAATTTCCAATTAAAATTGGAAGTATCATTTTATCATCTTGCTCTACTTATACACCTGATTTGACCCCATCTACGTTTCCCCCAGGCAAGAGGGATGTCAAAGTAAAGGCCCTGGAGGCTGCTGAGGCTTCAAAACGTATTGCTGAACAGAAAGAGAATGATCGTAAGATGAAGAAGGAAGCTATGAAGCTTGAACGGGCAAGACAGGAACAGGAAAATCTGAGAAAGCAGGAGATAGAGAAGAAAAAGAAAGAAGAAGATCGAAAGAAAAAGGAGGCGGAAATGGCTTGGAAGCAAGAGATGGAAAAGAAAAAGAAGGAAGAAGAGCGGAAGAGAAAGGAGTTTGAAATGGCTGACAGGAAAAGGCAGAGGGAAGAAGAAGACAAAAAGTTGAAGGAAGCTAAAAGACAACGCATTGCAGAAATTCAGCGACAACAAAGAGAGGCTGATGAAAAACTACAAGCTGAAAAAGAATTGAAAAGACAAGCTATGGTAAGAGAGAGCGCTCCTCTTGTTTCTGTTCTTAGAAACTTTGTTTGACTATTGTGATGTGGGAGTTTTGCTAAATCAAAAATGAATTTTAGGAGGCGAGGACTAAAGCACAGAAGGTACTCAAAGCAGACCAAAGTAATGCTGAGAAAATCCGAGGACAAGCGAGATCAAAGAGTAATTCCAGTGATGATACCAATGCTTCAAGAAGCTCTAGAGATACTGACTTCAAGGTACAAGTCTCTCATCTTTTGAGGGCACTTTAGAGATGAAACCAATCTTAATAGATGACAATTGTTGTGCTTATAGGTGATAAGCAATCCAGGGAACATGTCTGAAGAACACAACATGGGGATTGAAGAAATGGAAGAGTCGTACAACATCTCTCCATACAAATGCTCGGATGACGAAGATGAAGAGGAAGACAACAATGACGACATGTCAAACAAAAAATTTGTTCCTACTTGGGCCAGGTTTTGTTTCTGAATTGCTCTCTCATTCGTTAATGTTCATCTCTCATTAGTCATTACCATTTGTTTACCCCAACGCTTCTTATTTATACAGCAAGAGCAATGTCCGGCTCGCTGTCATTTCCCAACAAAATCTTGATCCCAATATTATTTTCCCTGCAAAAAGCGTCTGCGATGTAAGTAAAGGTAAGATCTCTCGATTACACTTTATAGAAAAAAAAATTCATAGTTTTAGCCATACTTATGGATAAGTATTGTTTTGAATCTCTCAGTTCTTTTGCCGCGAGAGTTCCAATCGAGATAACATAAACTAGGGGAAGCCAAAGGTCAGATTCTCAGTGACATTAAAACCACAAAAACAAAGTAAGTATCTATGTGTTTTAAGTTTCTTCTTATCTTTTGCTGGAAAGGAGGAACATAAATCTTACTAGCTTTAAGCTTAAGATTCCTTTTTGCTTTCTTATGTATCAGTGAATGGGTAATGTAATAATTAACTAGTCATCCCCACATTGACGCTCATGTTCATACATAACGGCTACTTCTATTTTTTATATATATTCATAGGTTCAGTTGATTTTCCTAGTGGAAAGAGCCAGGTGCTGAAAGCAAGAGATTTGTTCCTTTTCAATGTCGATTTCATTAAAATAACTTTTTGGATCACGATCGCTTAATAATATTTGATTACTGTCGAATTTAGAGCTTAAATAAAAGTAGTCTCAAATCACAACTGTAGTATATAATTTGGGTTTGTGACTCTTAGCACTAACTAACTGTTGCACAAAGGGTTAAAAAATGCTGTTTAACTTGTAAAATATGTTTATCGAGATACACTTGTGATCCAAGATGAATTGTATAAAGGTTAAAAATGTGATCAATATAATTGTATAAAGGTTAAAAATGTGATCACAGAAACACTTGTTAATTTCAGGTTCTGTGTCTGTTATAAGAGTAATCCTAATACTGTATGCATTGTGAGCTATGAACAGTAAATAGTCAACCATAGTGAGTGAGTCAAAATGGAGTTATTATTATTATAGACAGAGTCACACAGATACATAATTAAATGAAGTAAAAGATAAAACAATTTCAGTGATGAATGTCACTTATTTCTGAGGCAAAAAAAAAAAAAAAAAAAAAAAAAAAAAAAAAAAAAAAAAAAAAAAAAAAAAACAATAATTCCTTCAAACTCTCTCTATTCACGTGGTGGCGCTATATAGATTCCATTAAAACGGTCAGTTTTGATTTTAGCGTCCATTTACCAGACCCCACCCGACCCGCTCCACCACTTTTGTTCCCACTTCCCACACTTAAAAACGACATCGTATCTTCACCATCCTTAATAACCGTTGCCACACCCAAATTACTATAATACCCTCACCTTCTTCATAATCAATTCGAATCCATTTTCCCACCACAGTTATACCAAAACTCTCTCTTCTCTCTCTCTAATGTCTCTTTCAAGAAAGCTTCTTGTTCTCATCTTCACATGGATAACAGCTCTATCCATGGCGAAACCAATCTTTGTATCATCCGATAACATGAATTTCACATTCAAATCCTTCACGATTCGTAATCTCACTTTCCTCGGCGATTCCCATCTCAGAAACGGCGTCGTTGGACTCACGAGAGAGCTTGGTGTTCCCGATACAAGCTCCGGTACAGTAATCTACAACACTCCGATTCGTTTTTACGATCCGGATTCAAACACCACGGCGTCTTTCTCCACTCACTTCTCCTTCTCCGTTCAAAACTTAAACCCAGATCCAACCTCCGCCGGTGATGGACTCGCTTTCTTCCTCTCTCATGACAACGATACTTTAGGAAGTCCCGGTGGTTACTTAGGTCTCGTCAATTCCTCTCAGCCGATGAAGAATCGATTCGTCGCTATCGAATTCGATACGAAATTGGATCCTCATTTCAACGATCCAAGTGGTAATCACATTGGTTTAGATGTTGATAGTTTGAACTCAATCGCTACTTCAGATCCTTCGAATTCGTCTCAGATTGATCTTAAATCTGGGAGATCAATCACTTCTTGGATCGATTACAAGAACGATTCACGTTTATTGAACGTGTTCTTGAGTTATACAGATCCAATCACCACCACGAAGAAGCCAGAGAAGCCTCTTTTATCAGTGAAGATCGATCTTTCTCCGTTCTTGAATGGTGAAATGTATGTAGGATTCTCTGGTTCAACAGAAGGAAGCACAGAGATTCATCTGATTGAGAATTGGAGTTTCAAGACTTCTGGGTTTCTTCCGGTGAGATCGAAATCTAATCATCTTCACAACGTTTCAGATAGTTCTGTAGTGAATGATCCTGTGGCTATACCAAGTAAGAAGCGGAGGCATCGACACAATCTTGCTATTGGACTTGGTATTTCTTGTCCGGTGTTCTTCTGTTTAGCTCTCTTGGTGTTTGGGTACTTCACTTTGAAGAAATGGAAAAGTGTGAAAGCAGAGAAGGAGCTTAAGACTGAGCTTATCACAGGTTTAAGAGAGTTTAGCTATAAAGAGCTTTACACAGCTACAAAAGGGTTTCATTCGAGTAGAGTCATTGGAAGAGGAGCGTTTGGGAATGTGTACAGAGCTATGTTTGTTTCCTCTGGGACGATATCCGCTGTGAAGAGATCGAGACATAACTCAACCGAAGGTAAAACCGAGTTTTTGGCAGAGTTATCGATCATTGCTTGCTTGCGACACAAGAATCTTGTTCAGTTGCAGGGTTGGTGTAACGAGAAAGGTGAATTGCTTCTTGTCTATGAGTTCATGCCTAATGGAAGTCTTGATAAGATTCTGTATCAAGAATCAGAAACAGGAGCTGTGGCTCTTGACTGGTCACATAGGCTGAATATAGCGATTGGTTTGGCTTCAGCTTTGTCTTATCTTCACCATGAATGTGAACAGCAAGTGGTTCACAGAGACATAAAGACAAGCAACATAATGCTTGACATAAACTTCAACGCAAGGCTGGGAGATTTCGGTCTGGCTAGACTCACGGAGCACGATAAAAGCCCTGTCTCAACCTTAACCGCTGGTACAATGGGTTATCTAGCACCAGAGTATCTCCAATACGGCACAGCGACTGAGAAAACAGATGCTTTTAGCTACGGAGTGGTGATTTTAGAAGTTGCTTGTGGGAGAAGGCCAATAGATAAAGAACCAGAGAGTCAAAAGACAGTGAATCTAGTGGATTGGGTTTGGAGATTGCACAGTGAAGGAAGAGTTCTTGAAGCTGTGGATGAGAGATTAAAAGGTGAGTTTGATGAAGAAATGATGAAGAAACTGTTGCTTGTGGGTCTTAAATGTGCTCATCCAGATAGTAATGAGAGACCATCAATGAGACGTGTACTTCAGATACTTAACAATGAGGTTGAGCCAAGTCCGGTTCCGAAGATGAAACCTACACTGTCTTTCTCTTGTGGGTTAAGTCTTGATGATATTGTCTCAGAAGATGAAGAAGGAGACAGTATCGTGTACGTTGTATCTTAGTATAACACTTTTAATTCTTTCGTTCTGATAGATATTTTTTCATTTGATTTGTTTGATTTTGTATAATACTGTGTGTGGCCTTTGGTTCAATGAGTTTATATTGAACGATTAGGTTTATGTTTTCATATAAACCCATCTCAGAATCTAGAACAAAAGCTCATTTCTAAATAGGGAAAGATTTACAGAGCAATCAAAAGCCAAAACCCAGTTTTCAAGATCATTAAAGGTTTGATCAAAGTTACGTACCTTACTTGCTAGTGAAGAAACCTTGTTGAAGCAATCAGAGTATCTATGAAGATGCATAACCTACGCTCATGACACGATCACATAACATGGCGCAATGCGCGATGATGGTGGCAGAAGGAAAGAGAGCACACTCCCGACAAGGGCAAAACTATCTTTTTGCTAATCCCAGGTTGTGCTCTCTTTCTTCTGTCAACATTTCTTCATCTTCTTCTCCAGGATGAATTGAAGAAGAAGAAGAAAAAGAGTTGTGACGTGCGGCGTAAGTAAAGCAGTGACGGTGGCTCTGTGACTGTCATTTATAGCGAAGAGGATGAGTTTACTGGATACAACCGGTGATAAGAGGTGGAGACCGGCTATAGTGTGTGATAGAAAAACGAAGCTGAAAATGGTCCTGAGATTTCTTAAGGTCATGAATCTGGAAGTTTCTACAATATTAGAGATTCTCCCTTTCACTCTCTTACCTTTTCGCTTTCACATTAATTATATTTTCATTTTTAATTTTTATTAAAATCATATAATACCACTTCAAATAAGTCGAGAGTACTAGATATATCACTTGAAGAGAAAATTCCAATTTCTTGTTCTAAGAGAGACCAGAATTAATGAATCCAATGTTTTGGTTTTGAAGCTTTTTTTTTTTTGTAAAATTGTTTTGAAGCTTTTATATGGTATAATAATTAGTTGCTATATAATAATTTTAAAGTTTCTCGCAATGGTTTGAGCAAAAGACCTGTAATGGTGATAAATTATTATTGAGCTGGATTAAAATCTCTCGCACGCGTGAAACTCGGAAGTTGCTATCACCTAAATGAACAAGGCAAAACTTTAAGTCGTCATCGACAGCTCAACTACCCCTACGCTCCTGACGTTAAATCTCAGCCGTCCGTTTGCTTGAGAACTCGCTAGTTTCAGGACCCACTAAATTAGGCACGTGTTGATTTAGATTGACACGGTTGAGTATTATAGGCTTGCACCAGTAGGCCCATTTAATATGAAACAGGCCTTTCTAACTTTTGGCCCATTTACGTTTCCAGTTTGTGGCGAGAGAGAGAGGAGAAACACAGCGGAGGAGAAGCAGTTTGAATTGACTGAAGAAGCAGCCATGTCAGGTTTCTCGAGCTTAATTTCTTACAGAAACGGAGCAATCTCTCTGTTGCGTCTCAGTTTTTCGAAATTCAGATGTTTCTCTCGAGTAAGGTTTTCTTGTGGCGCTGTGAAACATTCGAAACGAGATGATTATGCTTCTCACGAACCATTTGGTGTCTCTGGTGAGTTTCTCTTCTTTATTTGGTTGCTTCATATTCTTATTGCTTTTCCAGAGTTATTTTAAATCAATTCAAGCTGTACATGTATAGGATACAGCAGGATTCTGATTAGAGGTGTAAAAAATCAATCTTTAGAACTGTAGAGTGAAAATTTTCTGTGCCTTTTACTGAATTTTGTATCCTATAATGTTTTTTTGTGAATCTTCTTGACGGGTTTTGCTAAATATTTGAACTTTTTGGGGCTTTATGAAACAGGTTTTGATATGGAGAAGAGCATATATAACATTCTTACAATTGATCGTTGGGGATCTCTAAATCATATGGATTATAGACAGGCTCGTCTTAGACCAGTTCATGGGAAGCTGGCTTTGAAGTTTCTTAAATGGGTAGTGAAACAGCCTGGTTTGGATACTGACCATATTGTTCAGTTGTTCTGTATTACTACACATATACTAGTTAGAGCTAGAATGTATGACCCTGCAAGGCACATCTTAAAGGAGTTATCTTTGATGAGTGGGAAATCAAGCTTTGTTTTTGGTGCTTTGATGGCCACTTACCGGCTTTGCAATTCAAACCCTTCGGTTTTCGACATCTTGATTAGAGTATATTTGAGAGAAGGAATGATTCAAGATTCTCTGGAAATATTTCGCTTGATGGGTCTTTATGGATTCAACCCGTCTGTATATACTTGTAATGCAATACTAGGTTCCATTGTAAAGAGTTGTGAGGATGTGTCAGTCTGGTCTTTCTTGAAGGAAATGCTGAAAAGGAAGATTTGTCCTGATGTGGCTACCTTCAATATACTAATTAATGTGCTCTGTGCTGAAGGAAGCTTCAAAAAGTCGTCTTATCTAATGCAAAAGATGGAGAAGAGTGGTTATGCGCCAACTATAGTTACATACAATACTGTGTTACATTGGTATTGTAAAAAGGGAAGATTTAAAGCTGCTATTGAGCTTTTAGATCACATGAATTTGAAGGGTGTCAACGCTGATGTCTGTACATATAATATGCTTATCCATGATTTGTGCAGAAGCAATAGAAGTGCCAAAGGTTATTTGTTGCTGAGGGATATGAGGAAGAGGATGATTCACCCCAACGAAGTCACGTACAAT